TACACCTGGAATGTCAAGAGGTTTCCATGCGAAGATGTCCCAGTTCTCACGGAGGAACTGGATGAGCACGGCTTCCTATTTGATGTCGATTGTCGTTGATATGTGAGTCGGAGCTGCATTAGGGTCTTCCAGGTGAATGTGAACATGCTTGGTCTTCTCCGGCCAACTGAAATGCAGATTCTAAAGCAAGCTTCTTAGACCGCAATAAATCACTCGGATCTGCGGTTTTATGGTACTCCTGCATCTCCACGGCTGCCATCTGTTCATCTGCGATTTTGCAACCCTTCTGAAGGCACTCTTCTGCTCTCTGTTTATTTCCTATAACTGTGACCACACCTTTGGGATCGGGAATCTTCAACTTGAGATATACATAACATGGTCGAGCTATGAAACGAGCATATGCAGGCCTGCCCAGAATGGCGTAGTAAGCACTCTGGAAATCCACTACCTCAAATGTGAACTTTTCCTTGCGGTAATTCTTGGAATCACCGAAAACCACATCAAGAGTAATCTGCCCGAGTGACTTTGCCTTTTTCCCAGGAATGACGTCGTGGGACTGCATGTTGCTTTCACTAAGTTTGGACATCGGAATACCCATCCCTTATAGGGTCTCAACATATAGAATGTTCAGCCCACTTCCGCCATCCATAAGGACCTTGGTCAGTCGGGTGCCCCCAACGACTGGGTCGACCACCAACGCCTGCCGCCTAGGGGTAGCAACGTGTGCCGGGTGGTCTGACTGGTCGAATGTAATGGGAGTCTTCGACCACTTCAAATATGTCGGAGTTGCCGAAGCAACCATATTCACTTCTTTGTTAATGACTTTGAGTCGACTTTTGCTTTTGACATCAGCAAAAATCATCAAGGTAGCATTGACTTGAGGGTAACCCTCCTCTTCCTGTTTTTCATCTTCTTTATCAGACTCTTCCTCATTGGACTGGTTCTCTCGGAAGCTCTGAATCAGAAGACGGCATTGCCGAGTGGTATGCTTAGGTTGAATCAGGTTTCCCTCCTCATCTTTCTTCGTGTGTATGTAAGAAGGTAAATCCAGGACATCCTGTCCAAACTGATCTTTCACCTTCTTAGGTTTCCACTGCGGTTTCGGCTTTCCTTTGAACTTTCCACCTCCTGCATTCAGGACCGCAGCTTCAGCAGGCCCTATAGGTTCAGCCTTATGTTTCTGCTTCCAACTAGAATTCCCAGCCCCAGAGTCCTGATTGACTATTTTCCCTTTGCCGTAACGGAGTCGGTCCTCCTCTTCACCATTCGTGTACCGAGTGGCTCTCTCCATCATTCGGGTCAGATTCATATCTCCGGACCGATCGAACTTCTAGGTAAGCTCTCTGTACTTGACGCCCTCTTTGAAGGCGCAAACCGCCTGGTGATCTGACACGTTTTCCATCGTATGATGAAGGGTGGTCCATCTCTGGATGAAATCTCGCAAAGTCTCATTTGGTTTCTGAACACAGTGTTGCAATTCAGTCAGCCCAGCAGGTCGCTTGCAAGTGCCCTCGAATGTTTTGATGAACACTCGAGCCAAATCATCCCAGCAGAAATACTCCCGGGTGCTAACTGAGTCAACCAAGCTCTGGTCGAGCCCTCAAGCATCAGGGGGAGGTGCTTCATAGCCACATCGTCATTACCACCACCAATCTGCACAGCCACTCGGTAGTCCTCTAACCAGGTATCAGGCTTTGATTCGCCGGTGAACTTGCTCACACCTGCTGCCAACCTAAAGTTGGGAGGGATCTCAGCTGATCGAATGGCCATATTGAAACATTCAGGCCCAGAAATGAAAGCTCTGTTCCCGGTCGAGCGATCTCTGCCTTGCCCTTCTCTGTTCGCTCAGCCTCTATCAACCAAACCTTGCACAAGGAGTGATCTTGCATCGAACCCTAGCTCTCTTGGGTCGACCGGAGCTCTCCGCTCGTCACCATGCGGGTACCTATCATCATAACGCCGGGGCACGTATGATCCGCCCCTTGGAGGGGGCGTAAGCACTCGACGGTGGTCGTCATGGGAACCCTGATGATAAAATTGCCTATGGCCCCGCTCCAGGTACTGGTCCTGGCGGGGTCCATGATCTTCCCGATGCCTGGGTGACCTTGGACTATGCGTCGACTAAACTGTGTCTGCAATCACTGAACTACTATGAATTTTGTTGCGCGACTGGGAAATGACAGGATTCTGTTCCCCAGCGGCCTTAAGCAATGCACGAATCTGCTCTAAACCTCTACAAGCTTGTGAACGCGACGGCTGAATTGACTATGCTATGCATGCTACTGCTACAACATTTTGAATCGGAGTTGGATATACCCGAGTTTCAGTCGAAAACAACCGTCTGGGCCGTCGACTAGATTCGGGAATCCGCTGACAAGCCCGCTCATCGAGTGCCTTCTGCATATTGTCCAGACGCGTACGCTCAGCCAAGGTGGCCAAGCGCACAGCCTCCAAAGCGCGAGCCTCGGGGGTCTCCCTAGTGATAGGGGTCTGGAGCGCCCGAACATTGCGTCGATGCAACTCTTCCCTCTGCTCTGTGATGAGGGCGTCGGGAACGTACTCCTCATATTCTTGAGACGGGCCAGCGCCACAGCAAAATCCGGGCGGGCTGTGCTGGGAAGTGACCACAAGAACTTCTGCCGCTGGTTCATTGCTTTCGCACTCGGAGAGGGAATTCGAGTGACCAGCCGGCAGATCGAACAAACCATAAACAGATTCGTCGGGCTCGATTGCCGCGACTTGTGGGGTGGTCGACTGGCGAGCCACCGCATGCTTCACCCACCGCTAGAGCCGCGAACCTCCGGATCGCTTGCGACGGCGAACAGCGGGGAGCGATGATGTCACCAGGGCCGACTGATACTGAGTCGGCGGCTGTCGAAGAAGGACGCCGCAAGCACTCGCACGGAAGTGCATGGCCCCGCGGACAGGGAGGACCTCGACGTCGAGGGGAGCTTCATGAAGCCAGGCGGAGTCGTCGGCGATGAAAACGAGCGCATCGAGATGGATCTCGTGGCCCAACGCCAAACCACCGCCGGAAACCATGTTGTCGGAGAACGGAAAACGCAACCTCACCGGAAGTCGCTTAGACGTTTGCCCCACAGTGGGTGCCAACTGTCGTGGGAGTAAGTCTGACAGCAAGAATAGGGGGTACGTATGAGGAGGCAAGGTCCAAGCTACGATGAGGTTGTACACGCAAGTTTACGAGTTTAGGCCCTTCTCGAAGGAAGTAAAAGCCCTACGTCTCGGTGCCCTGAGCCTGTGTCGACTGGAGAAGCGTGAAATTTACAAGGGGTGCAAACCCTTGTGCCAGAGGAGGAGGGTGGCTTATATAGAGTGCGCCAGGACCCTCTCTAACCTCCGTTACACAGGGTTCAATGTGAGTTAAGATGGGGCGTTACTGGTAACGCCTGCCATAAATGACCATTAACACTACAGAGGGAAAGCCTGACCGTTGCCATCCTGGGATGACTTGAAATCTTCTATACACCGAGTGGTTCTTCATGCGGTCGAGTGGAATTGGGGTATCCGAGTGGAACCTTCAGGGTGATTCCAGTCAGTATTCTCTGTTGTTCCTTGAGTACCTTTGACTGTAGGTCAGTGTCCTTGGGTGGGGTGTCTAGGTCAGGCCTATGACCCTACCCTAGGTACATGTCCTCGTCATTGTCTTCATTGGACCCCTGTAGTGTGTGGTAAAAATTTGAAAGTGTTATGGACAAAACTTGATGCACCTCATGTA